TTCTCTATTACTTATCGAAATGGATTTTTAGTCAGCGATTTTATTTGCGCAATTGCGACATCGCAGCCTAATTAATAAGTCACCATGTCTTATCGATAAGAAAGGTGGATGCCCCGCAGCTAACGATAGCGAGGCGGCATCGGGTTTTCGGCTAAGAAAACTTTGTTCTGCGCTCAGCATAGCTCAATGACAGCCAGCGATCAACCAACTGAGCTATCGAAGCGAATGTGGCTCTTAACTGATATGCAAAAGCAGACCTGCAATGCACATTGCAGTAACCAGTCTTATAACCCTATATACCCGCACGACAGTAATTTACTTAACCGCTGCTTTTTAAGCCGAGCGGGATTCGTTACGAACTTTATTATAAAAGCTCTTCGCGAATTAAATATTATACTTAGCTTATAAAGCATCGTAAAGCTTTGCAAACGCGTATTAATTAATAGCTAATTGTTAAACGGCGGTTTAAAAGTCCTTGAAAGTTATAGTCTTAGCAAATTCTAAATAAAGCTAATCGCGCAGCGTTTTAATAATTTTAAAACGTAAAGCTTCGCGTAATCAGTCTTCGTCTTTGATTTTAACGATAGCGGCAAGCTTCGAGAAAACAAAATAAAAGTCTTAAAATTACTATTTAAGCTTTATATAAAGTTTTTCGAACTCAATTAACGCTTTAGCTTTCTTAACGAAATCGTTTAAGAACTCGAAAGCGATCTAAACGAGTTCCGAAGCGGTTATAAAATTATTACGATTTATAATTAAAAAAGCTAAAAACAAGTAAGCTGTCTTTTCAGTTTAATTAAAGACGTAATTCTTGCGTTAACGTTTTATAAAAAAGTATTCTTTAAAAGCTTTTAAATTATCGAAGACGCAAGCTTGCTAATAGCGTACTCGATAGCTTACATCGTTCGAAAGCTTTTATTTAAAGTTAAAGATCCGCTCGATACGAGCGCGACTTTAAAAAGCTAAAGAAAAAGCTTTAAAAGTATTAAACTTAACTAAAGTGCGAAAGTTAGTTAGCTTATAAAAAGAAAGTGGTTTATCGTCGTCGGCGAAGAAGCGGCGAAAGTTAACGGTTTTATAAGTAAAAAAAGTAATTTAAAAGACCGAAAGCTTATATAGCTCTTTGCTTTTAAAATTATCTTCGAAAGACACTTAAAAAAACTTTAACGAGCGTTTCGTAGTTAGCAAAACCGCTTAAAGCTAGTCTAGTTCTTTTCGAGCTCGATAAGCTTCTTTTTTAGCTTTATTAGCGAAAGCTTTTTGTTCGCTAGCGCTTTTATCGAGCTTTTCGTTACGGATTTTTATATTTGCGAAAAGCTTCTTAAGCTTAACGGCCTTTCGTTTAAATTTAAAAAAAGCTTAATATTAAGCTAAAGCTTCTTCGGAGTTAATAAAAGCTAAAGGATTATCTTTATCGTCTTGCTTACTAATAGCTTCTTTTTGTATAAAAGAGACTACCGGTTGGGCCGTAAAAGAAAAAGAAAGAGCTATTAAAGCAGCTTTAAAAAGTATGCGAAAGATTTTATCCGCGAAGCGAAAGTTGCTATATTATATAAGTGCTATCTTTTAAATTATACTTAAAATAAGCTTTCTCGTAACCGTTAAAGTCGTTTAAGTGTTTTAACGTTTAATTACTAAAGAATTCTAAAGAAGAAAAATATTATTAAAGCCGTTTTCGACGGAGTAAGATAGTTGTTAATAATATAACGACTTTAAGCGATTACTTAAAAAAACTTACGAAAGCGCAAAGTTCATATAAAAGCTCAAAAAAATCTTAAAGTAATAACTTAAAATCAACAACTACTAAGTGTAAAGGTCGAAGGTAGCTAAGGTTTATATACACGAAAGTAGAAGCGCTAAAGACTCGTAAACCATAGTTCATAGGTCAAAGGCGGAGAATAAGAGAATACGAAGAATACGAAGGAAAAAAAAGAAAGAAATAGCTTGGCGCATATAAGGTGCGTCTAAAAGACCTGGCGTGTCGTCACACGTATCTTATATACTTATAGCAAAGATAGCTGCCGACGGCTTCTTTAAACTATTACCGAAAGTCTTGTTTCAAAGATTCGTTAAGATGATAAATATAATTAATCGATCGAAGCTAATATTAAACTCTTAAATACGCGAAAAACTTCACTTAGCTTCTTCGTATATCGAAAAAAGAGATTTATTTTCTCGACAAAACAAAGAAGCAATAAAAGCTATTAGCAGCATTAGAATAAAAATATTAAAGTAAGAAATTCTTATTCTATAAAGTCTATGCTATTGCTGCTAAGCAACTCTAGAAAAGATGGATAATGACTGCTAATTGAAAGAATGAATAGCTGGCTAGCGTAGAAAGAGAACTGTATACAGTTCTCTTTCTTAAAAGAGATCTTCTTTCTTTTAGATAACTGAAATAATACAATTGTAACCACCTTCTGCTTCCCCTAATCATAAGGAAGAATTATCTTCATACACAAGGCCGACTTTATAAGAGTCAAATCAGCCAGGTCGAGGTTATCAAAGCAAGGGATCGGTCTTCCTTACATCATCTGGCCCTAGGTTCAGGATGCGGCGTCTTTCTGCGATCAAGTTCTCCATTCTGGTTCTGGCACCCATCACCAACTTTTTCCTGCCATTATCGGAGCTCAGGATAGATGGGTATGTAGTGGAAGATCGGGATTAAAGATTGGGATGGAAAAAAGTAATAGAAGAAAGTGGTAGAAGAAAGTAGTAGAGGGTTTTAAATACTAGTTAATACTGTTATCCCACGTGATATAGCGATGAGGCTTATCTGTATCGGTGGTAGTCGAAGGTGAAGAGGTGGTTGATGTTGATTTCTCTTCCGTGGTAGAAGAAGGAAGCTACGATTGATGGATATACCGTAGCCCCTCGACTGCTTGGCCCGTGCCCCTAGCGCCTCCAGTGGTCTGGTACGGCTACGTCATTCTACTCCACGCAGCTTCAAGACTGCGGGACGGGCCGTACCTTATCTAAATATATCGCATGTTATGTAAGCATATCTGTTTGTATATTACTAAGCATAATCAGGTCGGATAGCATAGCAGCCAACGTAATTCCCGACTACCTGGAGGATGCAGGGCCTTTGGGACAGTCAGCTGATCGTCCGATGATACCACTACCGGTACCACTACTACTACTACTACTACTACTACTACTACTACTACTACCACTACTATCACTACCACCACTACCACCACTACCACCACTACCACCACTACTACCACTACCACCACTACTACTAACAGCTGCAGATGACCACTCGCCACCTAAACAAGACGGACCCGGATATGATGGAGTGCACATGTAACAAGCTCATCACGGCCACCGGTATCACCTCCAAACCCAAGCCCGGCCCTTAGGACCCAGTCAGTTCAATAGGCCCTCCTCCCACGCCGTTGAAGCCGGCCGTCGCCGGTCCGTGAAGGAGGTGGTGGTCCGACACGGATGATGCCAGTTCAGGGCCCGGACGGAATGTCTATGGCCAGGCCAGTATAAGCCAGCCACGAAGCGGGTTATAGGGTTTGCATGAGCGACTATCTACGACTCTAAGCGCGGCATCAACAGATTCTTACATAGCGGAAGACGGCGGCTCGGAACCTGAATCACGACGTGGTTCGAGAGCTTCATGACGAGGCAGGTACAGACTGATGCGAGGGTAAATGAAGGAGAATCGGTATTCGATGAGCAATAATAGTAATAGAACGCAAAGAAGCTTGAGCCTTACCCTGAAAGACTGTTTCTTCATTATATCACATTCCAATCGGGGGACGGTCATTTTTGAGATGTGCTGATACCTTAGTAGCTTCATTTACTTCGTGCCAGGAGGTAAGGACTGTGCTCTATAATCGCCATCTTTGGACCTCATCAATAAAGGCTCCCTTATCACCGTAACCCAACCCGTACATTCCTGGGCTCCGCCAAAGACGGCCACCTCTTAAAGGAGCCTACCGTTTAATTACATCGGAAAGAAACGAACGTCGAACTGAACTCCGGGTAGACCTGACCATTTTTCCCGGTCCACCACATAGATGGACCCTTGGTACTGCAGTCGGCTTGACTATTTTTTATTTATCAGCTATTTATTTGGAGTCGATAGTATAAATCGTAAGAAGTGCTTTGCTTGCTTACTTGAAGAATACGCAAGTGGCTCCATAAGTATCGAAGGAGTTGGTGGTTCTCAAAGAGTTTCCTGACAGATTGACTTCATTTGACTTTCATCAGCTTTCAACCGACTTGATAATATTACTTTATTGAAGAAGTTCGACTGACCGCATTCGTTATTCTGGAATTTGACTTGTGCGCAGCTCAAGAATTCGCGAACTCCGCAAAGGCTGATAGTTCTGCCAGCTCTGCCAGCGAGAGTATGAGCTGCGAAGATGATTGTAGGGACGATGGCTTTAGTAATCAACATGTTGATAGATCGATTGGGCAGAAAATAATTTACTGTAAAGGCGGATGGGATAAATGTTGACTGGAAAGATAAGATGCTTACAACATGAGTTGGGTCACAGAGAAGGACGGGACGGAAACTTGTTTATATAAAATTTTAAAGAGGTATACTTTTCCAACTGCCGACCGGTCTCATGATGAACCCCCTGAGGGTAGGAAACAAAGGGCTTTACAGCCCCTCCCTTGCCCCGTCCTATGAATACGTGTGCGACCCAGTTAGCCCCATAAATTGTAAAGCGGTGGTTTCTGAATGGCTTAATGCCCTTTCAGCTCTACAAGACCTTGTTCAGCTCAATTTGCATAGACTAAAGGCTCTCTTACAGATAATTTTCAAGGCTGATTGGTTGGTTGAAGCCCTGGTAAGAGCCCTTGGAAGATTGTACTTTGCATGTACTACGTACTACGTCGCAGGCGTAAGTAAGTATTACCCCTCGAGGGTGCCTCAAAAGTTTAGTTTCCACTTTAAACCCCCTGGTTACCCTACCCTCAAGGGGTAATACGTACGTAGTACTTACGCCTGCGACGTACGTACAGTAGTATTACTACTTTATAATCCAGACAAAAGTATGATTTGCGTTGCCTTGTTCCCAGCCAGTGAATTGATATCGGATCGTATATTAAGCCCTCCCTTGCTTTTCCATTCGCTTTTCAACAAGGATAGCATGTATATTATCGATCTCTGCTAAGTATAGTCCAAAAGAGAACAGCGTTTATAGGATGATACTTCGTATAGCTCTACGATACTAGACGATAAATATTTAACTTATCAATTAATTATATTAGGAAAGCGTCGTGAAACGTAATCCATCATCATTTAGGATCGAAGATCGAAGGAATTTCCGGCTAGCCGTGCCTTAATATTTACAACGAACTTGAGACGGAGAATAGCCGATAAGCTTTGCTTCATTTACGTAGTATTAGCGCACGGTTATTTTAAGATAAGATCGCAAGAAAAGCTAATCGTACCCCTGGTCGGAGTACTAGTCAGAGGCAGGAATGCGGTTCCTAGTACCCTTCAGTAATACGGTCAACTTTTTCGTGATTCTTCTTTTAATATATATATTATATTTAAAATATAATATTATTCTTTAAGAATAGACCTACTTTAAGAAAAAATTTAGAAGCTGGTAGGATTTTAAAACGCGATTATATCTTTATATTAACCTCGTCGGCGGTTTCCTGCCTCTGACTAGTACTCCGACCAGGGGTACGATTAAAGCCAAATTCAAAAAGTGTATTTATATGCCGACGCACGCGGTCTTTGTGTACGGAGTATCACTTACTACGTACTTTTTATTCACTTTCTAAGGAATTTCTAAAGAGAAGAGAGCTTTTAGTAAAGCTTCATTAGAAGTTAAGGCGTTAAAATCATTCGTTAACGGTAATAAACTCGACGGTATACTACTTAGTACTTTCGTATTTTATACCGCGACTTCAGAGTTTGGTATAATCCGTACTCTCCCCCGCTTTTTGAATATACGTCGAAAGTATAATTTTGCAAAAGACTAACCAGTACTAGGTTTTAAACCGATCAACTTACCACGGTACAGGCCTAAGTATTACCCCTCGAGGGTGCCTTAAAAGTTTAGTTTCCACTTCAAACCCCCTGTTTTCCCTACCCCCGAGGGGTAATACTTACGCCTGCGACGTAGTATACTCTGTAAAGATTCATTCAGCTTTGCAAACTATCTTTAAGCTAGTATTTAATTTATGCAATAAAGTTAGCAAGGCTTTAAGCCATTCAAATACTACGTATCACCGCTTTACGATTTATAAAGCTAAACTAAATCCGATAATTATTTATAAGGGGAATAGTACTACGTAGAGGAGGACTATACGTGTTACTATTAATACTATGCGTACAGGCCAAATACGGTACGTAGTAACTACCGCTTCAACTCGAGAAAGTGGAGCGCGGGGCTGTCAATAACGTCTGATCTCTGTTTCTTACTCCGAAATAACCGATGCGTCGACTGCGCAAAAGGCCATTTGTTGTACGGGGATGGACCTCGAAACTATACTGGAGCCAATTAGACGCCGAATCCAGGCAATTCACGGATCTTTATAAAGTCAATAGCCCATTTACGGAGTTAAGGGTTTACGCGGTATGCCCTGAGGGCTACTGTATGGACCAGGGATTTTGTTATAATCACAAGATAAGGTTCTTGAAGGCAAATAAGAAAGGGGGGGTTTTACTAGTACATCACGTAAATTAAAAACGCGTTTGGATTGGTTGCGGCGCTTAACAAAAGTCAAATCGAGGTTCTCCGATGAATTACCACGGTACAGGCCTAAGTACTACTAGGTACGTAATATTTATCTTCAAGCATGTACTATACGTAGTACTATTACCCTTCGAGGGTGCCTCAAAAGTTTAATTTCCACTTTAAAACCCCCTGGTTACCCTACCCTCGAGGGATAATACTTACTTACGCCTGAGACGTAGCAATACCGGTAGTATCAACGCTGCTCGCTTGGTATTCTTATGGTGTAATTAAGTTTCCGTGGGGGGATTGGGGAAAGTGGGGGGTTTTCTGAGCCTTTCAAATCTATACTTACTTTGTACTCGTGGGGCCAGCATATCCGTCCTTATGCTTTGTATAGTTAGTTAGCCGCGCGTGTATTCAATAAGATCGACTTTACACTATTATTCTAGACGATCTTCTACGTATGTATAGGCAGATCTACTAGCCGAACGAGTATATACGTCATTTGTTAGTTGTACGTTTGTTAGATGGGACACTTGATCAAACTACGCTTTTACGAAGTGGACCGGCCCGTACTTTTACGTAAGTAAGGTGGTGCTGGTCAGGAAATGGAGGCTTCGGCGGGCAACAAAACCTAACTTAAGAGGCTATTATTCTTTTTTACGAGCCTTCGGCTCTTTCTTGCGACAGAAAGTCTAGAAAGCCGAGATGGAATCATCGATATATGACGTCTTTGCGAAGAGATTTTGCTCTACCGGCAAACTACGCCGACTACGATTTACTAGTACGTTTCACGGGCATGTCAACGGAAAAGACTACTGGATTTGCGATGAAAAAGGAACGGATATAAAAGATAAAGTAAGAAGGGCTTAGTTCGACTGATCGAAAAAACGGTATTGCGCTTACGAAAAGCATTTTGCAAATATGCTGGCTTTAGACAAAAGCTACAAACGCAAGCCCTTATAACTTTACGATATACGAGAACAACGTTTATACTACTAAATTGCTTCTGGAGGTAAATAAGGTATTTGCGATACAAAGTATATCAGTCGTCTGACTACTCCGTATATGCAAAGGCTCGTAATTGCGACCTTGTGCACTCTGGTACTTGGTATCTCAACTTTCCCCTACTTGTACTCATGCATGCGTTGATCTTCTCTAACCGGGGAAATGGCTGTGACGCTCTGCATGATTGGCTCGTGTATATTTAGAAAATTCAAATTTATATTTAGGGCGATTTTCGTCGACATCGGCATGGGGATGCGTTTCATCGTAAACTCTCGAGGGACTTTGCTCAGCGGGCCACAAGCTGAACCCCAGCCATAGAGTTTGCGATGGTTTCTCTTCCTCGTACCCTTGTGGAGAAGGAGGCTCGGTTCTTCACTTATACGAAGTGCCTCTTACGAACCTGCAACTTTCTCTCGCGGCAGAAAGATCCGAAAGCCGAGGTCAAATCATCGATATACGGCGAGTCTTCGAAGAGATTTTCTTTTACCGGCGGTTCCCAACCTCCTCTTTCACTCGACCATCACACCGATCACGATCTATACTTCACGGGCATACCGAGTGAAAAAAAAAAAAAAATCAAAAGGATTTGCGATAATAGAAGAACGGGTACAACTGAAGAAGGGCATAATTCGATCGATTGAAAACTCGGCATTATGCCTTCGATAAAAGCGCTTTGCGAATATACCGGCTTTGTAATGTTAGGAACCAATAGCTGAATAGCTTCACCACAAGAAACCCACTTCTTTCATTTCAAAAGAAAAAAGGAATCTCTAGAGCGCATGATCGAATACATATAAAAAGACAGAAGATAAAAACATCTAGCATTCCTACATTTAAGCAGCAGCAGGCAGGCGCTTGAGAACCCCCCCTCCCACCCCCTTCCTTTCTTTCTTTCTTCCGTCTTCATTTCAAAAATATCTGCGAAAATCAAACATGTATATATATTTATTTGTTCGGCCCGTACGTACGTATCGTATCTATCGGATTACCGAGGCACTTCAGTGTGGGTAGGGAACGTATGTTGAGGTGAGGATGATATTTCCAAGTTCTTCTCAGCAGGAGAATTCTATATACCGGTAGCCTCCTAGGGACCTAGGGAGCGCGTGCGCCCTAAGTGTGCCTAGTGGTCTCAGGCTATCACAGAGGCCAATGTGGCAGTCAGGAGTGGAAGGAACGCGGATAGCAGTAGCGTGACAGTATCACGTGATGGTGGACCGTGACCGTGCATCATTCCATCGCCATTCATGTAAAAATCCTTTTCCTTTAGGATTTAATCCTCTCCCCACCTCTCCTCTCTTCTCCTCTCCTCTCCTCACCTACTAACGAAAAAAAAAAACGCAAAACCGACTGGGATAGTATCTACCTAGATACCTAGATACCTACCGCTAGCCAGAAACCCTCCTCCCCATCCATCCCCCCGCTGTATAATCGGTGAGCGTAGCACCTTCTCCAACTATGTCAGATGGCGTCTGTATAACGTCGATCCCCTTCTATGATAATAAAAAACCATGATGATAATAGAGATTACTTTTATTTTAAAAAATCCAGTTGCAAGATCAGGGGCAATTTTATCTGTGAGACACAAGAGTCCTTCTAGGCGCTTTTTAAACGCTTCAAAAATACGTATTGCTAGTAAGGCATCACGTATGGTATAATACCTTATACGTGCAAAGATTAGCCTTAGCATGCGTTCTCAGCATACAGCGTCAGAACGCTTCTACAGTCTCTTTCTACAATACAAGTCAATCATTAATTACAACCTAAACACCTCCCAAATTGCGGTGAGACCGTAGTCAGTACGTGATCTAGCAATGCTAGATATCATCCCCTTCACGCTTGCTTGCTGTTTCCGAACTCATAGCTGGCCAGAGAGCAAGGCCTCCGTCGCTGGATAGTGCGTTAGTACGTACACATTCACAGGAAGCGAGGTAGGACGACGGTAACATACCAGAGTTAATATATGCTCTTCGAGCATCAAGCTGCACGCCAAACCTTCTCTCAAGCTCCACCTTGATGCTCTTCTTCGTGACAGTCATCAAATCGGCCGTCTTCAGAATCTCTCTGATCTCAGCCAAGATCGCATCGTCACTTGGCAGGCCGGCGAGATTCGCCAACTCGTGTTCTTGCTGGCCAAGGTACTGAGAACCACCCCATTGGCTCTGGCGATGCTCCAGTCCCATGGCGTCAGAAGGCGCGAGAGACATGCGGGAGCCGGACATGTGAGCGTGCTTGGCTTCGTAAGGCGAGTAGACTTCGGCTCGCGACATAGGGCGCGAAGCGTAGTTGTACTCGGAAGTCGCGACGGGGTGCTTGGTGCCATAGGAGTAGCCTGAGACTTCGGAGCGATCGTCTTTCATGGTCTGGGCTTCCCAGAGCTCGGCTTGGTACTCCTCCCACTTCTTATGTGGGATGGAGTCGGGGTCGAATTTGCCCTCATCGGTGATGACGATCTTACGACCCTTCTCCCCTGTCACAACACGAGTGTTGCCCCAGGAGAAATCGTCCATGTGCCAGAAACTGTACAAGGGAAGACCGAAGGAGAAGACCGGGATGGCGAGAATGTAGAGTATCATCCACCCGATCATTTCCCACTTGCGATGCAGAATGAAGATGATGGCTTGCAGACCGTAGATGACGGCGAGCAGGATGAAAGCGATGGTCGGTACGGTGCCCGGGTTGATGATAAGTGTGATGATCAAATATACTATATAGACCAGGGTGATAGGTTGGACCAGGGTCGAGAGCAAGTCGATGAAAACGATAAAGCGCATACTGAAGCAGCAGAAGCCACAGAGTTGAGACATAGGGATGAGCTCAGCGAGGTTGTGCACCGTGGAGTTGATCCACCGACGACGTTGAGAGAGGAAAACGCTCCAGGAGTCGGGTGCCACAGTCCACGCATGCGCGTTGCGGATGTACTTAGTTTTATACTTGGGATGATGCTTGAGTAAGAGTGTTGTCAAGTAACGATCCTCACCCAAATGAAGCAAATTCTTCATGTGAAGAGTATCGACCCGAATCTCGGCGTATGACTCGACAACATCGCGACTGACAAACAGCGGCTTGCCAGATTCGGCGGCTCGGATCCGGACCATGGTAAAACATCCAGGCAAGCAGGTAACACTGCCAAACAAACTCTCGAAAGCCTTGGAAAGATTATGCGAAATGTAATACTCGTAAACCTGAATCATGGTGACGAAGGAGGATCTCGGGTTGGATAACGCGGTCTCTCCACAGCAGCCGATTAGTCTCGTGTCGTCAATAAACGCCGAGACGAATCGAGTTACCGAATCCGCAGCCACGACGGTATCGGCGTCGATGGTCAATAAGTACTCGTAGAACGTTGGGTTGACACCGATGATATTCCGGATTTGGTGATACATTTCGAGCTCCATGGGACTCATCGCGGTGTTGTAGTGGACTCTGTTCAAAAATCTCATCAAGACCATCTGAGAATCACGCTTACCTCTGTTACCCGGGCGTGAGACCTCGGAGGGCTTACCAATCTTGACGACGACCAGGAAGGGCACGATGTGGCCCTGGACTTCGTACAGACCGGAGTAGATTTTGCCCATGTTGTGTTGCTTCAGGCCCTCACCCAGAGACTCGAAGCTCAAGGGTTCGGGGTCGACGGTCTCGGCAACACCGAGAATGTCGAGTACGATACGCGGAGTCGGCTTCTCGTTTCCTTGTCCAATGATCATTCCGTCACAGATGACAACGAGAAGTTTGCGCTTATCATCGTACTTCATTCTTGCAGCAGAGTCAATGGCACGGCGGAGGGATTCCTCGTCTTCGGTATAAACAGGCACCTGGCAGATGACAAACTTGTCGAGATTCTCAGGGACATTTTTCGACCCGAATTGTAGAGCTGCGGCGAATTTGAATCCAATGACGGCGAGCAGGACAATAGACACGGCCAAGATTAGGTAGGTGGCGAATTGGCACCTGACCGAGTTTCTCGTATCGACGTCGCCAACGTAAAAGAGGTTGTCCAGGCAGATCGACATTCGAGAGCGCATACCCGCATCAATAGCTAATGCATTCCAGAGGTCGGTGACATCACTGCCGGCTCTCTGTTGGAACAGCTCCACGACGAGAGGGTTCATAAAGTCAGTACTGATATCAGTAGGGGTCTCTTCGCCCGGCTTGACAAGCACTTTGCGGCCTCCCTGGATGTACTTGGTAAAGTCATAGACTCGGCCGTTGAGGATTGCAATGGAGTTCGATTTGGAGGCCAACGTCTTCACATACTGGGCCGTGTACCCAATGGTGCCTTCTTTGTAATTGGATCTGAGCATCAACATCTGCTCGAAGAACCAATCAGGACGGCTGTCGTTGGTCCATGATCGAAAGTCGTGGTACTGCCAGTTGAGATCGGTCGCCGCAATGACGGATGCCGAGCCAGTGACATTGGTGCTCGAGTAGTCAAGCGTGATAGAAGGATCAACAGTTCCCTTGACTCCTTGACATAGAGCTGAGACCTGTACCGGGAAAAGAGAGGTAGCATCGAGGCCGGCGTAATTCAAGATGGCCTTTTGCGGGATGATGAATGGGTAGTGGGATGGCGCAAACGCTTTCAGGTTGAATACCTGCCCTCGGATGGAGACGTAGGCATCGTCATTTTTGCCGTTGTGGCGCGTCAATTCAGCAGCACTGAAGACGTATTGTTTCGGGCAAATGAGGAAGGGAAATACGACGATCATGAAGGCGACAAAGCCGCAACTCAGCCAAATCATCATGTTGATGGCAAGCTTTTCTCTCCATGCGATTCGGACATCTTTGCGAGGCATCCGCCCAACCACCCGGATCAGGAAGTCAGGAAGCATCCATGTCATCAGGTAGACGAGGAACATCCACCTCTTACGGATTACACTGGTCTGGACCTCTTCCACTTCGACCATCGCCTTCTCGTTGCCCTTCTCGGCCATTTGCTCTCTGGTATCCAGATTCCGAAACATGTCGCCGCCTCCGAGAGCAGAGGCACCGGCCTCGGAACGGGTATCGATGTCATTGCTGCCGAAGTAACCTGATTTCTTGTCACCGTAGCCGGGGCTGAGGCCTGAAGGGGGACCAAGGAGCCGCTCTTTGGATGCTCCATAGGAACCACCATCGCCAGGCGAGAGCACATCCTCCCCGCTTTCCGAGTTTGTCGGATAGCGCCCGGGGACGTATCCACGCTCGGCGAGTTTGGCGATTTCTGACCAGCACCGTTCACTCAAGAAAACCCCGGTAAATCCTATGCTTGCCTCGTTGGCTGCCCACCGCTTCTCATCCACTACCATCTGAGCCTTTTCACGCTCGCTTCCGACCAGGATCGTTTCTGCGTCGGCAAGACCCAGAAACTCGCCAAAGGGGAGGAAGAGACTGAAATCTGCGTTGCGGAGACGTTGGCTGATCTCGGCGATGCCAAAGGTCTGGATCTGTGTGCGGACGCATTTGCTGTCGAATTGGTTTGCGATACGACGGTCGTTCGGCTTGAGACAGAATACAAAGTATGGGTTTGTATTTGGCGCACTGAGAGACTTGGTCACGTTATCGAGCGAGGACAGGAACTGAGCGGCAGCCCCTTGGTCGATGTTCCGGCCCCGGCGGCTCTTTGCGTCGTCGTCGACCAGTCCCATCTCTTCGACCGATTCGTCGAACGGCGATACCTTGCCGGTGTCTCGAGCAGAGAATCTGGATGGCCTATCCCCCTTCTTCCCCATCACACTTGGCTTTCGGAGAGGTTTCGAGCTTACTTGCGCCTGCACAATGGTTGACCGTTCTTGAGGGTGGACCATAGTCTGCAAGGCTTCTTGTCCAAAGATTTGCCCGACAAACTCGCTCTTGGTCGAGGCAATCAGGTTCATCAAGTCTCCCGAGATCACTTCCCCGTTCTCCTCCACCAACCCAGACACCTGATACTCGACCTCGCCGGCGAAGTGCTTTACGGTAAAGGACGCCGCTGCGTTGTGCGTTGCAAAGTTGCTGCCTGGAAGCTTTGCGGTGGCGCTTCCGACGGAGATGGCAGGGTTCTTGCCATCGAATCGTTTTCGCAGACTCTCCAGCAACTGCATGTCGGTCTTGTTGCGCTTCGTTTGGTCGTCTAGGATGCTGAGGAGACCATTTCCGTGTTTGAGCAGGCCTTTGACGGCATCGGAGTTGTCGAAGTAGCTGGTTGGGGCCACACTGACCTCTTCACTATCGAGCATTTCCCCCCTGGCCTCGAAGAAACTTTGAAGGGTGAAGTTGTACAGGGATTCCGTAGCGGCATTGTTGAGAAGCTGGTCGAGCTTGGAATCGGTCGCTTGCTGCTGAGAAAAACCCGGAAAGTCTACAATCGATATGGTGTTGGCGACTGTATCTTCGACCGCACATACTCTCTGGTTGATGGTTTCGATCACATAGGCTACCAAGAGCGAGTACAGGGTCCGAGCAAGCTCGTCGGCGTTACTCCTCGCCCCCTTGGGGTCCAGCATGACCGTTACGCGCTCCCGGTGAAGGATCTTGGTCTTGTACCCCAGAGTCGCCTGCAGGTCCGCGGCACTGACACCTAGGAATGCAGCAATGATGCCGAGCACTTCCTTATTCTTCACCACGGTCACGAGTTGTCCTCCTTCGTGAGAGAAGCCACCACTGTCGTCCCCCGCACTGGTGGTTGCCTCGGTGGTTTCGAATTCCAGCTGTCCAATGTGGAGAATGCTGGCCATGACCTGACATATCTCGGCAATCTCACTCCGAGGGAATTCGAGCTTCCGGAGAGCGGTTTTGAAGAGTTGGAATCCTTCCGCATCATTGATCCCCACCTTCAGTTGCGTTGGGTGGCCGAGGTAGCGCCATCTCTTCTGCTGGGAGCCAAGCGAGTGTCTGTTGTTCCCGGAGTGAGGCGGATGGACCACACCCGAGAAGCCCCCGTTGGTATCGAGTCCGAGATGGGATTTCTCGGCCGCACTGGTTCCGGCCAGGAGGTAGTACAAGACATGGAAACTACGCTCTCCGGTCGGAACCGAGGCGACTCGGCTCCGCTCCAGCCTGTGGTCGAGCAGTTTTCCTCCCAGAAGGGTTGGGTTGACGGTCGAGGAGGTGTCGTACTGGAGCTCGAAGAAAAGACCCGACTTGGACGCCGTGGGGGTCGTAGCGGTTTTCGTGGTCGTCAGGGTGTCGAAAACATAGGCAGCGAGTGAGAGCTTCGTCGAAAGCGGGGTGGATGATTTGCTCAAGAGGGCAGAGAGCAGATGAGACCGAACGGTGGTTTTACCTGACCCGGACTCTCCCCTACAGACGGATGGATTAGCAATTCCTCTCGGAGGACGAAGAGAAAAGATGCGTATGGTCACGCAAGCAGCTTACAGGAAAACAACGGCCTGGTTTTCCGAGCGGGCTCCCAGTCGCGTGTATGCTCTCTCGGCCAAGTCCTCCGCGCCTCCCATGGCACTTCCCTCCTTTCCCCCATCCGGACCCTTGGTTGAGGTAGAATAGGTGTTCAGGCATATTAAGGCGTGGGAGGATAGCTGGGCGGTTGGCAGAGATACATGGAACCGGCTGGCGAGATGTGCGGTGAGATGCGTGTCGGACTGGAGATGCGCTGGCAAGGCGGGCAGTGAGGGTTGGGAATGGGCACCGCCGCTCCCTCCTTGGTTGTTGCCGGCCATAGCTGCTGGTGTGCTCGGGGGGTGGGTTGGCCGGGTCGGAACCCACGGGGGGGGATCGGTCTTGTCAGAATTGCTTCGGGGGATTTTCGAGTTCGAGCAGTGGGATCCTGAAGATCAGCGAGTGTGAGGGGGTGATGGTGCGTTGAGGAAGTGGTGAATGAAGAGGTGTGGTGGTGGTGGATAGAGATGGCGGCGGTGGTGGTGATGGCTACGGTGATGGTGATGGTGATGGTGGTGGTAGTGGTTATGAATGAATGAAGAATACAAAATATGGCGAGTAGCGAATGTGTGGTGTTGTTGGTGTTGTTGGTGTTGGTGGTGTTGGTGGTGTTGGTGGTGTTGGTGGTATTGCGGATGTGGAAGTGGATGTGGATGGGAGCTAAGTAATAGGCAGATCTAAGCGGATGGGTAGTGGAAGCCCAAGATCTCTCGCTGCCCTTCTTCCCTTCCCTTCCCGCACGATATCCGTCCACAGTCTGTCTACAGTGGCTCCTGTATGGGGGCTTACCGGCCGCAGTCGACCAGGCGTCCCAACAGCTAAGGTGGGGTGTGCATCTATCACTCGGCTCACGCGGCCGCGGCTGGTCGATAGTGCGCCAATATCCAAGGTGCGACTAAGCGTAGCCGGCCGCCTAATCTTGGCGCATGGCCACGATCTATTTTAGGATCACCCACTCACTCGCTACGCTGCCATCATTTGCTTGCAATCCCCACTTTCACGGGGCAAGATCCGTCTTGTGGGTTTGGGTTTGTTTACCTTTTTCTCCCTTTTTTTCGGCCCTTTCAACCCCCTATCCGGATGGCGAAGAAGGCGGCTGGCTGTAGGCTGGCTGTATGTACCGAGTCTTGTCAGGAATGGAAAGATGAAAACACGCTCTTGATTCATGTCATGTTGTTTGAATTTTATCTCTTCCTTTCTTTTCATCTCTTCTCTTCTCTTCTCTTCTCTTCTCACCGCATCTCATCTCATCGCTTCTCATCCCATCTCATCCCATCTCATCCCATCTCGTCTCATCTCGGCTCGTCCCGAGTTAGCCACCACCTGCGAGCCATGTGTTTGTTTGTTTGTTTGTTGACATCAAATCCGGACTACAGCGACTTCCCGTTACCTTACACACGAATCGATGGACCGCCGCTTTGAGTAAAGAGGCCCCGCTCCCCCAACGGCCCCGCTCTTTCTCGCTAAAGGGTAAAGCAGCAGCCGGCCAAGGCACCACCAGACCCGTTCAGGGGCGACCGAACTTCCGCACCGCCTGCCGTACAGACAACTAAACTAAACTATCTGACTGTTACCCGCCCCAACTCCCATTCTCGAATCTTCAATTCTCAGCCTCCTCCTCGCCACACTCGCTTTGATGTTGATGAAAGATATCCTCCCATCTCCCTATCTTTCCCTCCCGTTGCCCATTGCTGCTTTTTATATTATCCCTCTTTAATTCAATATCAGTCTATACTAAATCTCGCTGCATTCCATCCTTCTATCCATCCTTCTATCCATCCATCCATCCATCCATCCATCCATCCATCAATCCAACCCATCGCGTCCTCACCACGCTCAATCGCTTGCCCTCAACCGTGCATTCTAGACGCCTCTCCGGATATCTCATCTCCATCTGCGAGGGGTCCGAGTCCACATAGATCGATCCCACTCAATTAGACGAAAGAGAAAACTGGTCGGTCCTGGTGTTCCGCGGCAATCATCAACACTGACGCCAGGAGGAAGGGGAAAAATAAAACCCCCCAAAGCCTAGTGGGAATCAAGACACCACCAACACCTCCTCCTCCTCCTCCTTCGCTGGTCCACGATGGCGGCCAACGCCCGGATGTCGACGTACTCGAACACCTCGTCGTACCAGGGGCAGAGGAATGTGAACCCGGCTGCTCAACCATCAGCACAGGTCTCGACGACGAGTCTCCTGAACGCGGTCCATACAATCTACACGTCCGGCCAACCATACAGGCTAGACTCCAGCACCTCTCTCGTCGTGAACAACTGGCTCACGGCCTCACAGCCCGACCCGGAAGGGAGGATAGGCGGTACGGTCGATGCCGGCCTGTCTGCCCGTGCTTGGGAGCATGCCAGGCGACGTGCGGAAGATGGATGCATACTTCTCGGGTAGGAATGTCCCGATCTCTTCCAGAATTGACCTGACTGACTTGACAGCTCCCTGCATGAGTCGACCCCGTCGGTCCTCGCGCCCTTCCTCCAGACCCTCCCATTATCGATCCCGGCTTCCCTATATACTGCACTCAACGCATTGCGAGCTTTCCTTCACTCCGTATCGCCACAGAACTACTCGGCACCTCGCTACTCTGCTCTCGGTGTCACTCTCACCCTGACCCTGGCTGGAAATCTGACCGCGGCATCCATAGCTCTCTCTCAGGGAGGAATCGATACTTCCAAGGGCCTTCTGAACATTCCAGCCAAGCCGGGTTACCGAGCATTCGATGTGTTCTACTATCTCCTCACGTCAGCTTCCACGCCCGCCGAACGAGAGTTCCTAGGGCTCCAAACCGCGTCGAGCTATGCCCTTCTGGCAAAGTCCGGCACCTACGATCCCCCTTCGTACCTCCCGACGGGAGACGATGCTGCCGCCGCGGACGACTTCCGAGCTTCGTTGAAGGAGATTGGTATCAAGGGTGCAGCTCACAGGAATCTGATTTCCATCTTGGTCGGATTGTTGAAACTCGGCGACACGTTGAACTTCAATCTGGATGAGGATGCTTTGGAGGAGGTTTGTGAAGACGTCGGAGGGCTGCTCGGTCTTGAACCAGAGGTTCTGCTCAGCCAATGCACAACAGCGGACCGTGAAATTCTGATTGGCGGGCTGTACGAAGCCTTGGTCGACTGGGTCATTCTGAGAGCCAACGAGGCCATCGCAGCCGAAATGAGCCGGATCAAAGACTGCGATTCTTCCGATGGTGGTCGAGGCGCGAGAACCCCAAAGACTGAGGAGGACAACGGAGACACGGTTTGCATCACAGTTTTGGAGATTCCAGATCCAAGTTTTGGCAAGGCGGCCGCTATGCGTGGGGTCTTTGATGATACCCAAGGCATCAACTTCGAGATGAAAGAGGATGGAGTTGATGTGGTCCCCGTTGGCTCTACGATCCTCCGCGAAATGCAGAACTCTGTGTCTGAGGTAGGCCCGGATCTTGGGATAATGACTGGACCAGCCGGCCGTGAGCGTGAGCACGAGCTCGAAAAAAGAGAGATTGTCCTCGAAAAGGTTGGCAGGGAAGGCGAAGAGGGTGGATTTTTGACGAGGCTCCTCTTCCCCGTTGAGGGAGAAGGCATCAACTTGGGACGACGAGGCCGCATTGACTTGCCAGTCGTCCTCGGAAGCAGTCGCGTGTGGTACCACCTCTCGCTCCACCCAACGGATGAGTCCCCGGCCAGTTTGGCTGCTCTCCCTTCGATGACCTCCGCATGGTCTGCAGGAACAGTCTCGAGACAACTTCGCTCGTGGAGGCTCCCCGAATGGGCGAACCGCCGAAACAAGCACCTCGATTTCACTGCGGATTTTGATCACGAGGAATTCTGCCAGAGATATGCACCTCTCGGATGCAAGGATGGAAAGGATGGGATCGAAGGCTGGATTATGGAGCGTGGGTGGAGCAACGGCGAGGTCGTTGTTGGCACCGAACGCATTTGGATGCGTGAAAGTGCTTGGTGGGAAGCTGAGGGGATGCTGGACCTGAAACCCACAGACGACCAAGGCTTCGCTGGGTTGGGCGGCTTGCTCGGCGCCGACACGGGATACTCGGGTGCTCCTCATAACGGTAGCGGCTTCTTCGCTCCCATGACTGACTTGACGCATCAAGAAAGCCGAGAGGGGCTCCTCGCTCGCCAGCAAAGCTCCGCGACACTCTCTCGAAGTGCTCCGGGCGCTGCTCGGTCTGTGGCTCCCACGGCGCGGAACATCACTGCTGGGGATTACGGTCTGGGCCTCAAAGGAGATAACACCAAAGGCCAGGTCTTCTATACTAACGAAATGGGCGAACTCGTCAGTGGTATCGATCCCGAGTTGGCTGAGCCCAAGAGTATCACTACCTCGGATCTGACATCCAGCCGTCGGATCTGGGTTGGTGTGGTTTGGGGACTGACCTTCTGGTGTCCTTCGTTCCTTCTCAGATTCGTTGGCCGGATGAAGCGTCCTGACGTGCGTATGGCATGGAGAGAAAAGGTGGTGTTGTGCATGATCATAACCTTCTTCAACTGTCTCATCATCTTCTGGATTCTGTTCTTCGGCAAACTTCTCTGTCCGAATTTTGACAAGGCATGGGATGCAGCTGAGGTTGCCAGTCATCAAGGCACGGCCGACTACTGGGTCAGTATCCGCGGGAAGGTTTACGACATGACCAAGTTCTATAAGCTTCAACACAGTGACACAGCGATCAAGACATCGGCCGCGACGATGGAACCATTTGCTGGGATGAACCTGGATGACTACTTCGTGCCACCCCTTACCGTGGCCTGCCCCGGCCTGGTCACCGACCCTGCTCTCTCTCTTCTCGCGAATAACACGGTGGCGGACCCCACTGCTGTCCACACCTCCGGACCTCAAACGCCCTATAGAACCAGCGCACTGTACGACATCAACTGGTACGGTTCGAAATTCTTGCCCAAGCTCAAGGAGTACTATCACGGCGAGCTTGTTACGGACAAGAGCAAAGTTAAGAGTCAGGGCCAGAACAACAATCACTACTGGTTTATCCTCGATAATAAGATCTACGATTTGACAAACTACTATTACACATTGGATACGTTCAACAACTTGGCCTCATACAATTTCCTCGACGATAGCGTCTCTGACTTGATCAAGAGTAACCCTGGTCTCGACATCACAAAGGACTGGAACAAGATGTTCAACGCTGCCAATGCCACCCAACAAGTAGTGATTCAGAACAACCTGAATTGCATATCAAATAGTTGGTATGTCGGCATCCCCGATTTCCGGTACACTGCAAGGTGCCAAGCCAACAACTACTTGCTGCTCGCCTTCACGATTCTCTTGTGTGCCGTTATTCTTGCCAAGTTCTTGGCTGCTCTTCAGTTTGGGTCTAAACGTCGTCCGAGTCCTCAAGATAAGTTCGTCATTTGTCAGGTTCCTGCTTACACCGAAGGAGAAGATTCTCTGCGGAAGGCCCTTGATTCCCTCACGGCCCTCCAATATGACAACAAGAGAAAGCTTATCTGTGTTATCTGCGATGGTATGATCGTCGGTGGTGGTAATGATCGACCGACGCCCAAGATTGTTCTGGATATCTTGGGAGTCGATCCCAAGATAGATCCTCCCGCACTGCCGTTCAAATCGGTGGGTAACAGCAGCGAGCAGCTCAACTACGGCAAGGTTTACTCTGGACTCTATGAGTACGAAGGCAACGTTGTCCCGTACCTGGTCGTCGTCAAGGTCGGAAAGGAATCCGAGCAGTCGAAGAGCAAGCCTGGTAATCGTGGAAAGCGAGACTCCCAAATCCTGCTCATGAGCTTCCTCAACCGCGTCCATCACCGAGCTCCCATGTGCCCTCTCGAGCTGGAAATGTTCCACCAGATCAATAACATTATTGGTGTCGACCCCGAGCTTTACGAATACCTTTTGATGGTTGATGCCGATACCTGTGTTCGCGAGGACTCTCTGAACTACCTTGTCGCGGCCTGTGCAAACAACGCCAAGATTGCTGGTATTTGCGGTGAAACTTCTCTCGAGAACGAAGAGCGCTCTTGGTGGACTATGATTCAAGTCTATGAATACTTCATCTCCCATCACTTGGCCAAGGCTTTCGAGTCTCTATTCGGCAGTGTTACTTGTCTTCCTGGATGGTGAGTTTCTAGTCTGGTCTATCCTGAAACCTCAGGGCTAACCATGATAGTTTCTCCATGTACCGTCTCCGCACATCTGACAAGGGCAAGCCTCTCATTATCTCTGATGTTATGATCCGTGACTACAGTGACTGCGTCGTCGATACCTTACATAAGAAGAACCTCCTATCTCTCGGAGAAGATCGATACCTCACGACTCTCATGACGAAGCACTTCCCATACATGTCATATAAATTTGTCCCCGAAGCCTATTGTCAAACCGCCGCCCCTGAGACATGGAGTGTTCTTCTATCCCAGCGACGAAGATGGATTAACTCTACCATTCACAACTTGGCCGAACTGGTCTGGCTCAAGGAACTGTGTGGATTCTGTTGTTTCAGTATGCGCTTCGTCGTCTTTATCGATCTCTTCGGAACCATCCTCTTGCCTGCAACTTGCGCATACCTTGGTTACCTCATCTACAACGTCGCTGCCGGCGAAGGTCAGTTCCCGTTGATTTCGATCATCATGTTAGCAGCAGTCTACGGTCTACAGGCCCTGATTTTCATCCTGAAGCGTCAATGGCAGCACATTGGATGGATGATCATCTATATCATGGCTTTCCCCATATACTCTTTCATCCTGCCAATCTACTCTTTCTGGAACCAGGATAACTTCTCCTGGGGAAACACCCGTATCGTCATCGGTGAGAAGGGAGGCAAGCAAGTCGTTGCTATCGATGACGAAGGCTTCGATCCGCGCAGCATACCTCTCCAACGCTGGGACGACTATGCACTTATCAACAATCTGCCCGGGCGTCGCGGCGGAGCGGTGGAGAAAGCCTACGAGGGCTACGACGACCAGTACGAGATGGACGACATGAAATCCATGTACTCCTCCGTCAAACCGGCATCTACCATCCTCACTGGCTTTCCCCAGCGCGGCGGCTACATGCCTCCTCAGTCTCCGGCTGGTGGAGCACCCAGACAATCAGTCTACTCCATAAACCAGTACGGACAACCCCACGGTAACTCCTCCGTGATGTCTCTCGGTGGAGGCCTGCATCACGACGGTTGCTCTGCATCGCCGTATCAGGATTACCCCGCGCACTCCCCGCGGCCTGGCATGGCCGTCAACCCGTCGTCGCAGGATCTGCTCTCAGGCCAGCCATCTCCGTTGCACCCGAGTCGCAGCCAAGTCGGCCTTGGCGGGCCACGCACACCGTCGCAGTTTGATTTCCAGCGTGGCAATGCTGGTCCAGATGACTTGATGGTCATTGAAGCCATCCAGAACTGCCTTCGTGAGGTTGATCTCGATAACGTCACGAAGAAACAAGTCCGGGCCTTGGTTGAGCAGAGACTGCAGACAGAGTTGGTGGGCGAGAGGCGGACATTTATGGATCGCATGATTGATAGCGAGTTGGCGGCCATGTGAAAAGGGTGTGTATAGGAAGTTGTGTCGCATATGTTCATAGTTTCTTTCAAATCTAGGAAAGAAGGGGTGTGATGTGATCAGGCTGGGCTGGGTGCTTGCGTGTGCGTGGGCCTGGGCCTGTGCGCCTGTGTGTGGTGTTTAGGTGTTGATTAGATATTTCCAGTGCAACGGCCACTACGATTGACATATTCATGTTGCATAATAGGTACCAAGGTACAACAATACGGTCATTTGAATATGGATCATCTCTGCTGCACTGCAATGGACTCAGAGTCCATCTTGCTCCCGCTTCTTCATTCTGCATGCTCGGAATCGTAATCGGAACTGTAATAAATAACCTGTCGTCTTGGATATTGTAAGCAGAAGAGCGATCTTTGGATAGATAGATGAGATAGACAGAGAGCATGAAAAAGAGAGATCCGTCGAGGGCGCCAACTCGCTAGCTCGCTAAGTGGTGGTGTGCAAATAAGGAGAGGGAGAGACGTGGGGAGCGGTGAAATTATATTATATTTGTTTGGGTGAGGAGAAGGTAGAAAGAATAGCACGGGATGGATCGGAGTCAAATATGACGGGAAGAGAGCGTCCATCCATTTATGAAATTGTGAAAGAACTTGTATTACTTCTTCTTCCTTGAAGGATGAAGACCCATTCCGCCTGCTCGATATGAAAGATATTGTTTACTTGAAAGATTGATTAGCGTTTTCTTTCATTCTTTAGCGAGGCCCTTGAACTGCGCTGGAACTGGATGAATTCTGTTTAGCTTTAAAAAAAGATGATTAAATTTCAAATTACATTAATCAATATATATAACCCAAAATGCCAATTCGACTCGCAGTCCAGATGAGCCACAACGCTAAATATCCCTGGAATATCCCAAATCCTGCCTCATGCCTACCGTTTTCCACCCTTCGACGCATCAGATTCAGCATTCGTATCTCCTACCGTACTCGAGCTTCTCTGCTCCTCCTCCCTCACCCTCCTCATGTCATCTTCCTCTTCCTTTCTCCTCTCAAGCCTCACTCTTCTCTCCTCTCTCCAAATCGGGCCCCATTTCATCTCGACCATCAACATGGGGCTTGCAGTAATACACACCAGCGCAACGAATGTGAAGCACCAGCCTCTCCCCATCGATTTAATCATAATATCGATGATACCCGTGCCTCCCGCCCCGACAGAACATCTCAAAAGATTATTCGCCGCTGTCGCCGTGGAGGGACTCTGTGGGTAGAGGTCAACGACGAGCGTACTGAGAATGTTGAAGGACCCGTTGATGCAGAGACCCATGAAAAATTGGAGGATGAGCGGTGCCGCTAGGTGTGCGTTTTGCTCCAGAACCCAGCCGTAGCAGAGACAGCACGCGAGACCGAAATAGAGGATGGGCCAAATGATTTCGAGGCGTGCGCGCTCGATGGGGAATTTCGAGAGGTCGTCGCCGTGTTTACGATCGATGGTGAAACCGATCTTCTGTGCTACTCTCTTGTAATTACGATCCAGCATCTTCCCATTGACGAAGCTAGCAACTGCACATCCACAACCGAACGGAATGTAGCAGAGTCCAATCTGAAGATCATTGTAACCGTAAATCTCTTCAAACAGTTGTGGTATCGATGCAACGACATCGTAGAAAGCCGTGTAGAGCAAGGAGTTGTAGACCAGAACAAATGCCATGTCCTTCTCCATGACGATGCGAACAGTCTTGAGCGGGTTGGGCCATCTGAGCTTTCGCCCTCTAGCCAATTCCTCCTGCGCTAGACGGCGTCCTTCAGCCGTGGCTGATCGGGAGAGGCCATCCAAAGCCTTGCCCTCCTTGCGTTGCTGGTACCAATCGAGGACAGTCATGTTCCAGCCTGGAGGAGGTACCGAGCCGTTGCCCACCACATTGCGTCCTGTTTCCGAGACGGTGAGGGCGAACGGGACGAGGAAACATGCGGCGGTAATGACAAGGAACCAAAAGATCGAACGCCATCCCAGGAACTGCGCAAGGATACCACCAATTACAGGACCAAGGGCTGGTCCCATCATAGTCCCCGCTCCCACAATGCCCATGTACGTTCCTCGCTCGGCACTGGTAGATACATCTGCAACGACACCGAAACCCAGCGCAACTGCACCACTGCTTCCGGTACTCTGCAAGCATCGTAGAGTGAACAGAGCGGCATAGGAGTTCTGCAATGCCAGTCCAACGTTGGCACCTATGTATATGATGAAAGCTAGTATATACGCCGGTCGTCTACCCGCCATGTCCGCCAGATCTCCGAAGATTGTAGGGGCCAGCCCTTGGAGGATCATATAAGACGTCAGGGTCAAGTTGATCAAGGTCGTCGAGACGTGGAGCTCTTCCTTCAGCGGGTTCAATGCGGGGAAGTATATATTGGCGGAAGTTGGTGAGAGGAAGGCGGCCCAGGTAACCATTGCAACAATATATCGCTTTTTCCACTTGCCGAAAGCCGAGTACACAGGTCCGGTCGCGACGGCAGCCAACGCCTCGAGGTCTCGGGCGGCATCCTGGGCGGCCTGGGTCTCTTCTGAATGCGAGGAAGAAGCTCGAGAGGCGTCCAGTGCGGGTGCCACGACTGGCGTCGCAGGTTCTATGAGGACGGCGCCTTGTATAGCTGCTCCGATCTCCTCGGACTTCTCTGCCGCGACCCGGCGGTTATCTTGCGCCATCGTTGTCGAAGCCGCAGAGCAAAAATAGCAGAGCAATATAGCAATAATTGAGAAAAGCAACACTTGCCCAACAATTTGATTCAAGATGAAAGAGTAGGTCGGTACTGATATTCTACCGACCTCATCGCGTACGGCAGAGGCAGACGGAGACACTTACAAGATATCATACATACCTGCCTTGACCTGCCTTGACCAGCTCTGCCCTGCCCTGCCCAAGCCCGGTGCAACGGCAGCCGGCGATCTCCACGGAATGAGGATGGGGGTGGTTGTTGGTTGTTGATTGTTGGTTGTTGGTTGTGGGTTGTTGGAAGAAAGCATCCCCTTCTTCCCGGTGGGCGTCATTGGCCACCAGTCCAGTCTGGTACTTGCAGACTGGTCGGTTCGCCACATCGCATCCGTGGCGCCGATAAGTAAGTAATGGGTGGCGACGCTGATCAGACTGAGTGCGTGCGTTGGAGGAAGACGACGAGGATATCGCTGGTTGGCAACGAAGAAGAAGAGGTGGCAGGACGGGCGGAGGAAGGGCACGGCAGAGGCCAGGCATCGACCGACCGTCGGGAGTCTGGATGATGAAGAGGATGGTGGTGGTGGTGGTGGAGGTGGACGAGGCGGAAGAGTCAAAAGTTGAAGAACGATTCAAGGTCGTCGGCGGCTAAGCAACTTCGCCGACAACAAGCTTAAGGTTACTTACGGATGTCGATGCAGGAATAGAAGAGAAAAAGAAAAAAAAAAACAGAAACCAAAATAGAAATAGAAAAAGAAGCATTCTACGGAGGAAAAGAAGCTTGGATTAAGCGAGGGAAGAAGGCTACCTATCCTGACTGTGAATGCTGGTTGGTAACTTGATTATCTTCCGTACGGAGCTGCCACCGACCCGACCCCTCCAACAACCCAATTTCATCCTCGACGGATCACCACAAAGACATCTGCTTTCATGCCACCATGGCCGACCTCACCCCCATTCTCAACGAGCTTCTGAAAAGCCATGATGCTCGACCGACAGCAGATCCGTCCTTGTCCCTGCGGAATATTGACAGCTTCTTAAAGGAGGCCTACGAGATAGTGAGTACGCTCTGCCCTTCCTCTCCAGCTCCAGCTCCAGCTCCAGCTCCAGCTCCAGCTTGATCTCCCCTCCAGCACCTTCCCATCTTCTTCTTCCCTCTCACTCACTCACCATCGTTCGCAGAACGCGGGCATTGTCTCGTTGAACAGGGAGCTTCGGGGGATCCGCCAGTCCTACCTCTCCACCGCACCACCTCCTCGCCGCTCAGTACTATCGCAGCACGGGAAGCCATGGCAACACCTGACCGACCGTCAAAAGGACCAGATCGATGCCGAGACCAAGCAGCTCCTGCGGGATCTCGATTGGCGGATCCAGTCCCTCGCGGGGGCTGAGACTACACGACAGGAGACGGAACAGGCCGTGCGGAAGGGGAAATATGCGAAGATGGGCCTCGGCGCCCTGGGGCAGTGGGCGGCGGGCGGGGTCGGGCAGTCCAAAACGCTGGACGAGCAGCTGGACGAGGCCAAGAGCAACCAGGTGAAGGTGCACCGCGAGAGCGTGCTCTGGTATCTACGAGAGAAGCTACACGAATGCGGGAGGGCGCAAGCCGAGATGATGGAGAAGAGGATCATGCGCCAGCTGGAGAAGAACAAGAACATGATCTCCAAGTCACGGATGGGCGGCGGGCCAGAGCTTGCGGGATTCGGGCACACGCCAATGCCCCCACCGAACACATCTGCAGAGAGAGAGCCCGTCCCGGAGCAAGAAAATCTGACGCCGGAACAAATCCAGATGTTCCAGAAGGAGGAGGAGGACATGTTAAAGCATTACGAGAGCACGTTGGACCAGGTGAGGTGCGTATGACGGATGAACGGATTTCCTGAGGGAGGTGGCTGCGTGGAAATGGGGGCGATGGGGGCAATGGGGGCAATGGGGGAAATCGCAGCTAACATTGCTTGTCACAGGACGGCGGAGAAATCTCTCATGGAGATATCGGAGCTGCAGACTCAACTCGTGAACAACTTGGCTGTGCAGTCCGCGCACATCGACCAGCTGGTGACGGATTCCTTCGTCACGGCGGAGAATGTCGGAGGGGGCAACAAGCAGTTGAAGAAGGCGACGGAGCGGAAAAGCACGGCGAAATACGTCTTCTACGCCTCCTGCGGGCTGAGTGCCTTTCTGATTGTGTGGGACCTCGTAATCTGATATTTGATCTACGGGGGCTCATCACTGCATTTGACATGTTTGGGTTGGAGGGGGAGGAAGGGAGGGTATATATGTATTATGTATTATATGTACTATATGTATGTTGTATGTACCGGTATCTTGTACGTCGCAGATGTTTATTTACTGTCTGATCGCATAGCATGATTGCACTGCACTGATCTGATCTGATCTGATTTTATAGCAGACTTGCCTCGGTTCGGTTCGCAGGCAGGGTCCTGAGTCCGAGTCCTGAGTCCTGAGTCCTGAGTCCCGAGTCCTGACTCCTGACGAGGGAGTACGGAGCAGAGGCCCTGGCTGTACTCAGCAAGTCACAAGTCAGTAATAGTAATACGAATAATACGAAAGTATTTAAGCCCGAGACTTCCCCAGTTCTGCACATTCAAATCCACTTTTCAGGTCCACCTCCAAACTCAACCTTGCAGACGGAACGGAAGCTTAAGTGAAGTCCGATTGTTACCTCGGCTCGCTACCCTGTGCTGCCCTGCCTTCACTTCCATTCCTCTTCCTCTTCCTCTTCCACTTCCACTCCCTCTCCCACTCCCTCTCCCACTTCACTTCCACAACATGCCCTCGCCCTCCTCTTCTTCTTCACCCCCAAAGCTCAGACTCCAGAGCATCTCCAGCCACATGTCGTCCTTCACGTCCACTAGCTTCCCGGCCGATGCGGTGCCTCAAGCTCCCGAGGATCCCCTCTTTGGCTTGATGGCAGCCTTCCGGGCCGACCCCTTTGACAAGAAAGTCGATCTGGGAATCGGCGCCTACCGAGACGACGATGCAAAGCCGTGGGTTTTACCAGTTGTCAAGAAGGTGAGTCGCACCCAGCTCCAACAAGCAAGCAAGTAAGCAAGCAAGCTATCAGGACTACAAACTAACGGAGAACCCCCCTCGTGCTCTGCAGGCCGATGAGATCCTCCGCAACGATCCCGCCTTGAACCACGAATACCTCCCCATCGCCGGTCTGGCAAGCTTCACGTCCGCCGCCGCAAAGCTCATCTTGGGCGCCGACTCGCCAGCTCTCACCGAGAAGCGCGCATGCTCCGTGCAAACCATCTCGGGCACCGGAGCCGTCCATCTGGGCGCCCTCTTCCTCAAGAGATTCTTCCCCGGCTCCCCCACCGTCTACTTCAGCAACCCGACATGGGCCAACCACAACCAGATCTTCGCCAACGTCGCCCTCCCCTCCGCTACCTACCCCTACTTCTCCAAGGACACCAAAGGTCTGGACTTCGCCGGCATGAAGAAGACCATCGCCGACGCCCCCGACCACAGCATCATCCTGCTGCACGCCTGCGCGCACAACCCAACCGGTGTCGACCCGACGAAAGAGCAGTGGAAGGAGCTGGCCGTGCTGATGGCAGAGAAGTCCCACTTCCCGTTCTTCGACTGCGCATACCAGGGCTTTGCGTCGGGGGACCTGGCGAAGGATGCCTGGGCTGTCCACCACTTCGTCGAGCAAGGCTTCGAGCTGTGCATTGCCCAGTCCTTCGCCAAGAACTTCGGTCTGTACGGCGAGCGGGCCGGCTGCTTCCACTTCGTCACCGGGCCGGGCTCGGACGCTCAGAAGACGATCGGTCGCATCTCTTCCCAGCTCGCCATCCTCCAGCGCTCCGAGATCTCGAATCCGCCCGCGTACGGTGCACGCATTGCCAGCCTGGTTCTGAACGACGAGGCGCTCTTCAAGGAGTGGGAGGAGAACCTGCGGACCATGGCGGGACGGATCATCACGATGCGCAAGGAGCTCCGGGCGAAGTTGGAGGCGTTGGGCACGCCGGGCACCTGGAACCACATCACGGATCAGATCGGCATGTTCTCGTTTACGGGCTTGAGCGAGAAGCAGGTGTTGACGTTGCGAGATGTGGCACACGTCTACATGACGAAGAACGGTCGGATCAGTATGGCGGGCTTGAACACCAAGAATATCGATTACTTTGCCAAGGCGGTGGATAAGGTGGTTCAGGAGACCCAGTAGACGGGATGTATTATAGGTATAACGAATTGATGATGGAGGGGGTCAAGGCTTGTCTGGCGGGTCCGGTCTACACGGTGCTAGGAAAGGGTTGGGGACAATGGCTATATTCTACCACGTGGGTGGATCATTCGCTTAAAGTAATTAATCGAGTGCCTTTTTTTCTCCCTTGGATCCGGCCTTGTCGACATGTTCAACCTCGCGGCGTCGTCCATGTGGATTAGCATAACAGGCCACGCGGGTATAAAGCCGCGCCTCTGAACAACCTCCTGACGAACTTGAACGTGCGCGCGCGCGCGCGAAAGCCCCCCTCGCAGCTCTGCGCCGCCCGCCCACGACCGACCAGCTCCCAAGTCAAGCATGGAAAAGAACAGAATCTGAGGTCTCGCCTCGTCCCTCCACAGGGGACAATCTCACCGAACCCTTCCAGACTGCTACGACCTGGGTATTCTGGCACCAGCTAACCAGCTAACCAGCCAACTAACTAACTAGCTAACCGGCCAGCTAACCAGCTAACCAACTAACCGACTGACCAGCCAGCCAGCCAGCCAGCCAGCTAACCAGCCAGCTAACCAACTAACCGACCGACCGACCGACCGACCTTCCTTCCTTCCTTCTCCAGCACATCATCACAAGAGAAGGAGGGTGCGGGCACAATCAACAAACAGAACAGAACAGAACCGGGCCAGACCCAGACCTGGCGTGTTGTGTTGTGTTGTATTGTATTGTTTGTTAGATATACGAGTATACAGCCACGGGGGACGTACGCAGGTACGCAGAGAGGAAGGAAGAGAGAGGGAGAGAGAGAGAAAAAAAAAGGGGGAAAAAAAAAAAGGGGAAAAATATATATATATATAACTCACAAACTAATTAACTAACTAAACGCTGTTGTTTAAGTTAGCCATTGCTTTCGTGCGGTCTTTTCACTTCATTCCTATCCCTAGCCGTCGATTATGAATTAGGTTGTCGATTCTCGGATTTTTAATTCCTTGTTTGCTTTTTGTTCTGTTTTGTACTGTGCTGTGCTGTACATGAATGTATATT